AAGAGCCAAGAGACCCGAACTACAAGTGTAAACACACCCTTAGTCAAAGCAACATTCCTTCAGATTAATTATTAAATGATAATTCATTATTAATTATGAAATTATTCAGATAGATCTATAGGCCTAATTGTTCAATTCGAAAACTTAATATAAAAGTATAAGCATGTTAAATATGCCAAAATTTTCTAGTTTATTGTCTATAAGGACAGAAAACTAACTGAACTCTGAAGCTTTTAACCTCAACTGCATGTAAAACGCTACTTGCCCCGACTAATTGACTGACCTACATATCAGCAATGGTGTGTTCTAGTGTCTAGGCAACATTTACCTGTTTTCATATATGCATTCAATTGTATTGCCAAGTGAATATCAGTTCAGATGTAACACTTCTTACTTCATGTGATGTTTTCAAGTGTACATCTCTGCTTATGAAAGATCATTTTCTAATGATACCAAAGTGCAGATTCTGTTACCTTATATCTGAGGGTAATGTTACTCTGTAAGTGCCTATTACGACACTGTTTGATAGTGTCTATCGATGCCCATCTATTTTAATATCTGCAGCCAAAGGCAATATAAATTCCTCTAGGGATCAGTGGATGATTCTATATTACTGTCTATCTGTGTCGTACTACACTAGAGGGCAATGTTATACCACATAATGTTTTGGGGCCAATGTCTGTCACGTCCAATCCGTGAGCATACTAAAGTGGGTTTAATTAGGTCATATTGTGGTGGAAAATAACATCCTATAAAGTCCAGCATGCTTAAGTCACACCCACTGTTGTCTAAAGTTGTGTAACCTTATTTAGATTATGCTGTGGGATCGTCTGTCGCACCAACAAAAGCACAGACACTCCAGTCAAACACATAAGGCCTTTCCCCTTCACTGGTCAACTTGTACTGATGCAGTACTTTTTATGGATTAATATTAATTGGCCTTTTCATTAATTACTTACAGTGGGAGGAAGCCTCTGGAGCAGTTTCTCTGGTTTCCTCTACTTGAACACACAAATCTCCAGGGTGAATAAGAGGAACATGCCCCCAAACCGAGGTCAGCAGTGGGAACTTCTGAGGCTGTTTCCTGTCTTAAAAATGGACATTATAGCTTTCAAATGGCAAGCCCAAGAATGTAAAATTCAAAGAGGAGTAAGGTAGCTTGTGTGTCTAGCTGTAAATTTAGTGTATTTAAAGAAGATTTTCTCCTTGTTTCTTCACGCTGTTTTATGTGCTAATCCAGTGTGTTTTAATAATATGTTCAATTTTAATATAATATTTTGTCAGATATTTAGATTTTTTTTTCATTGAGGATTCATGACCTTTCAAATTAAATTATGATTTAATAACTTTACATTTTCATGAGGCAAAAAAATTATGTTTTTGTCCCCAAGTCAATTTTTGGTTTTCAACCACTGAATGCATAATATACCATATTGGTTACTGGCCAGTATTAGAAGGTTTTCTTTAGTCAATATGGGATTGAATTGTGCATGCTCATTTCCACTATTTTTTTTTTACATTCTACCTTCATCAAACACTCATCAAAAGTTAATAAAAAAAATGCAAATAATTTAACATGGTTAAATGTAATCTTTGGCTAATCTGAATGAATATCAATTTTCATGCTGTACATTAAAATGTCTAAAGTCACTTGTTTTCAGTGTTTCATTTGTTTTATTATTAATTTTATATTTTACAAAATAGTTTAATTACTTCTTAGCTTATCATATTGGCCATAAATTTGAATACCAGTGCATCCCTTATCCTAAAAGCATGTGATCCAAGCAATTCAGATTGAAATTACTTTGATTCAATTTCATTTCCACGCAAGAAAACACATTACAGCTAGGACTGCTGAATATCATCATCTGTCTGTTCATCTACTGAAAATCCATCCATCCATTCATGAGTTATGTGTAAACTGAGAAAAAAAATCCTAACCTTATATAGTAAGTGTAAGGTTGACATGTATGTTATTGATCAGTGAGCCTTCAACAATGTAAGAGCAATGTTAGATACGCAATAAACAACTCGTTCATGTACACCACGTCAGGGTGTTTATATAGTGCGGACCTGATAGCAAACACAAACAAAGAAACAAAACTGAAATTCAATTTACAATTACGCATTACATCATCGTTACGTCATGATAAAAGAATAAACATTAGGCTAGACACTCAATTAAAAATATTCTTAGTATTATGAGTATTGACGCCTGCGTATCAGTGATGTATATTTGGCTTAAGTAGTGACTAGCCATCACGTCCTTTGTAGGAACGGGCAATGCTATCGATGGCATCTTTTGCCACAAAAGCATGCATTGTGGCAGGTATGCATCGTGAGAGAAAACGACACTAAAGCTCAGGGCACCATCCATTGCCTGCACTAGTTCCCGTTAAGCATATTATGAATGACCGACGACTCATAATTCAAACAGTCAATGTTTTAGGGACGTATCTTAGAAATCCACAGCATCACCTAATCAAAACGACTGTCCTTCATAAGTAAGCTAATAAAAGGCAACATAAAGAGGGGGAAGATTGATGTGATGATGCAAACGTATCGACGGCGTTTTCTACACAGTGACAGATCTTATATCATGCATTTCAACGCCAAATGCAGCCCAAGACATCTTCATGCCTCCCCAGCTGCGCACACATCTGTGAAGAATGGTGGATTTTGGAAGATGGGCTATATGACAAGGTCAGTATCACCGACAAAGCTATGCAGTTCAAACAAATGTTTGATCGCCTCCTACCTCTCCAGCGTGTGTGATGGCACGGCACGGCGATCAGTTCCTATGCTTCCTTTATTGTGTCTCGCGGCACTCGGTTATCTTCCATTCAAGTCGCAGCACGCGAGCTGACCTTTTTGTGTATGTGTGTGTGTGTGTGTGTGTGTGTGTGTTTGTGTGTGTGGATGTGTGTGTTGCTGATGCTGTGAGTGCTCGCCTCCTCCTCGCGACAGTTCCGTACGCATTCAGTGCGCGCGGAGGCGCAGCTTCTCACCCAGCTGCACGTGAAACACGAGGGTGTGGCAGAGGCCGTACACACAATAAAAACAGAGCGTTCTGCTCTAACATTTCTGTTTCTAAATATACGCCCTTTTAATTGAATGAATTCTGCACAAGCCTCTAAATGCAGGCCACAGTCTGAAAGAATTACAGAGATTGAAAGAATTGCCCTCAGTATTTTTTGCTAATTAAAAAGGCTTTACACATAGGCCTAAATATACAACACTTTTGAGAAACATAATATAAAATTATTCTGTATGAATTCACAAGACATAATTTTAATCATATCTGTCCTCTAGACCCGTTCAAACCAAGAACCATAACTAATGAATAACAACTATTTCAGCGTCCGGACCATACATTTAAAGGGGTCATATGATGCGATTTCAAGTTTTCCTTTCTCTTTGGAGTGTTACAAGCTCTTGGTGCATAAAGAAGATCTGTAAAGTTGCAAAGACTAAAGTCTCAAATCCAAAGAGATATTCTTTATAAAAGTTAAGAGTCAACCACGCCTACCTAAAACTCCTCGTTCTAACACGCCCCCACATGTCTATGTCATGATGTGGGAAGATTTGCATAACGCCGCCCAAATGTGCACGCAAAGAAAGAAGGCGTGGTTTTAGGAACAGCAGTCCTGTTGATGCAGCCATGTCGGAGACGCTGTGTATTTCAGTGCAAAAGCACTTTATTTGGCCTTCCGGAAGTAGATGCAATTAGGATCATTGGTTAAGATTTATTTACAACAGAACAGCACAACCCAGATGTTCCAATTTGTGCAACGCATTTTATGGACGACAGTTTTTTGAACC